ACACACCTCACAGAGTACATACTCACTGTACACACACCTCACAGAGTACATACTCACTGTACACACACCTCACAGAGTACATGCTCACCATACTTCACATAGTACATGCTCCTTACACACATGTCACATAGCACATGTTCGCTATACACACATATACTACATAGTACCCCACACATATACTACATAGGCTCACACATTACATACTAAAGAGCACACATTATATAGCACACATACCCAGCATAGCACACAGATACCATTACACCACGTTAAACACACTCACAGACTACACACTAAACAGAACACCGCTGCACAAACAGACCCCATACAGTCTCATACTTTGTCCCAGATGCTGTGGTGCCTTGCTTTGGGAAGTCCTGACCCTCAACCCAACTCACCGCTTGTGAAGAGCACTTCTTCGGATGGATAGCAGTCTTGGGGAACAGCACTGAACACAGAGAAGTCAGCAGCAACTTCTTTTGCTTCTGTCCATTAGGTAGTCTGAAATGACAGGCGACAACATCGGCTTGGATAGAGCTTATACTGTGTTGTTGAGGGCTGCAGTAAGCAAAACCAGTGTTGGTTCCATCTTCTCCCAGACTCTCAGAGACCACCAGCTCTGGGTGTCAGCTGAGTGTTGAGCAGGCAACAGGAGTGACTTCCAGGGAGATAAACAGAGGGACCACCAGGGAGAGATGACAGGGCACACTGGAAGACTGCCAAGGAGAGGTGACAGAAGTCACAGGGGACCACCAGGGAGGGAGGGAAAGTATCTTCTGGGGAGAGATGCCCAGGAGAACAATGCAAAGATGGCTAGAGGAGTGTGAGGGTCCCCTGCTTCAGCAGGGACATGAGTTAGGCCTCAATGGGCTAAACAGTTGATTTGTAGGAAACAGGAATGTGGATGGAGCAATGGGATAAGAGGGTAAACCTGGCATTAGTGGCTCACACCTGTCATCCTAGCTACTCAGAGGCTGAGATCTGAGGATCACAGTTCAAAGCCAGCCAGGTCAGAAAAGTCCATGAAATTCTTATCTATAATCAACTACTCGGAAAAAGCCAGAAGTGGCACTGTGGCTCAAGTGCTAGAGCACTAGCTTTGAGAACAAAGAGGCTTAGTGACAATACCCAGACTGAGTTCAGGACCAGCAAAAAAAAAAAAAAAAAAAAGAGGTAGGCCGTGATGCTGAGGGCCTGTGCTCTGGAGACTCATGTCCAGGAAACCCAAGACCAAGCACCTGCAGCTGCTCTCTGCACCCTTCAGTCCCCTAAGTGTGGCTCTGTGCCTGTCTCAAATATTCAAGGGACCCTCTGTCCATTCACCATTATGAGTATGAGTCTGCCAGCATCCTTTCTCTACTCAGGAATGACATCCAAATGACATTCTCTACTTGCAATGACATCCAAAGTCCTCAGTGGGAAGTCTGGATTCAGAGGCACAGATCCCTGGACCTCCACGCCTGTCCCTGTTACCAGCGCCTGGGTGGAGAAGACTTGAAAGGTGTCTCGCACCCTTGCCGTGCCAGGTCCTGCACCATGGCTGCTCCTTCTGCCTTTACATTGCTTAAATAGAAGTCACACATTTTGTTGTAGCCATAAAAATCTGACTAACACAGATGAGATCAGTTAGGGATGACCTTGAGATGTAACCAATATGGTACTAAGGCAAACCCTAAATCCAATGCCTGGGGCAGGCACGGAGATGCAGAGACAACATGGTAGCGGACAGAAGTGATGTGCCAAAGGGCTGAGCAGAGCTGGAGGAGACAACGGGAGCCAGTTCTAAACCAAGTGCCATTAGAGACCAGAAGAGGACATTCAGGTGAGGACTTCACACAGAGAGGTGTGGAAAATGAATAACCATAGTCTCCTTTTTGTTTCGATGTAAAAAAGAGAAGGAGACTTCTTGTAGTTTACATAACAAGCTACATGAGTGACTTTAAATGTTAATGCTAGCTGGGCACCAGCGATCACACCTGTAATTCTAGCTACTCAGGAGGCTGAAATGTGAGGCTCAAAGTTTAAAACCAGCCCTGTCAGGAAAATTCAAGAGCTGCTTATCTTAAATTAACCAGCAGAAAGCTAGAAGTAGAGTGGCTCAAATAGCAGAGTGTAGCCTTAAGTGAAAAAGGTAAGGGACAGCACCAGGCCCTGATTTTAAGCCCCAATATAGGAAAAATGTTCATAATGTTAAGAGAAACAAACATGTTTTCTATTATGTCATTCTGTCAGTTAAAATAGATGAATTACGTTCTAAAACCTTGGAGTTAAGAGGAAATTCTAGCTTTTTCAGACGGATGAACCACCTGCAGCCAGCTATGGCTCACCTTGATGAGGACGGAGGTGACTTTGGACTGCTCGTTTTCTCCTGTGGGGTAAATGAGAATGCAGAACATGAGAAGCCATCGATACCAAGCCTTCCGTTAGACATGATTCAAGTCCATTTTGACAGAATTGGAGGGAGGGGCACCAGGTGCGTAGGCATGGGATGAGGCCTCCCTGGGACAGACCCTTCCTCCCCAGCCACTCTCACGTACGCTCAGCTTTGTTTCTCAGGTATAGGGTATCCCAGCACTGGGGTCCTGCCCAGGCCATGGGCTACATGCTTCCCATTTCCTCCCCCTGCACTGAGGAGACCCCCACATTCAGAAACACATGGCACACAGACCCACATCACACATTACACAGACTGCACTCTACACG